ACAATTTTAAGGCATGTGGACTTCAACTCCCAGAATTCCACAGCCAACACTGACTTAGAGAAACAAGAATCCCCAATACTTTATTATCTCATTGACACTTATTGATGATCAAATTAACCTTGGTCCCTCCTGAATTAATGAACTTCTGCACTGAGGATTCCTGGCCCCATACTTGCCATTGTTGAGCCCTGAAGCTTCTGCTGTGAAATTAACAAGCAGAGACCTTCACTGATAAAACAAACAGTTTTTCTGATTTTCCGTTAGCTTTGAAGCCTACTGAGGAAAGTCATTTGACACATCCCCCCCCCCAAAAATCTCATTTAGGTTTCAATTGTCTTGTCGCTTTTTTTGCTGGCTGTATAATAATTTTAAAAATTAATATCTCTTAGCTCTATTGATAGGATGAAGGTGCAAAGCATTAAATTGACAGTGGTTGTAAAATATATATTAACAATTCTAAATAAGTGAGCATTTCATATTTAGGTTTACACATCTCTTAAATTTTTTAAGATACTCCATAAATAATATATTACGGACCAAGTATATGAATGTGACAAGAATGCATTGTTGACATATATTGTCTGACAACCTAAAGCTATATTGCCAGATAAAATATCATAATAGATATTCATTAGTTTCTCTAAAAGTGGAACTACTCTTAACTTGTTGAGCTTCATATATGGTGAGTATGTCCATGTGTTAGATTGTTATTTTTTTCTGAGTTGTATGAGTAGAACACTATATCAGGGTGGATGATCTGCACCTATAGGAATCACTTAACCCCGTCTTGCAACCTTCAAAGTATTCTCAATTTGGGCGGCTGAAATTTAGGAGCAAAAATGCTCATGTTTGGTGTTTTTTTCCTATGTTTTGTTAAAATAAAATGCAAATAGGTGAATTTGCATTTGCTCTGTAAACTTATCTTTTCATCAGATGGGCTACACATTTCAATCCCTCTGCAGAAAGTTTGCTTGCTCCACTTTACAAATTCAGTAAATACCGTAAATTTGGGGTTTAATGACATAAGTTTTTATTCTATATTTTAATTTAGTTGCTCTAAATAGTTAACTAGCCAGACTAATTTTATACATTGGTATTAATTTTCTGTAATGTTTATCGTATGCTGTCTTCAGTTTGGTTAAAAATCAAAATATCTTTATATAAAACAATGGGGATTTAAGACATGATGCTATGTCTTAATTTAATTCTCCCCTCCTTTTTCATTGGTGGATTTTATTAATGATTGCTGTTACTATTCATAATTTATTTAATGATAATAATGTTAATCCCTAGTAAATGTCACCAGAACAAATCTAGACAAGCTTTATACTTGCATGTTCTCCCTACTTCAATACAGCAACAAGCCAAACAATTCCATAACCTTTATTTTATATTTTAGATTAATTGCAGCTTGCTGTGCTGCCTGACCTTGGAGGAACAATATAACTCTTAACTTGAATAAATGGAAGGAAGCCAACTTCATTTAAGAGTTTATGACTTTGTTTTATTTTGATTAACCATAATTACAATCAACTATAGCTTACAGTTTGGACAGCAAGCTAAACTAGAGATAATCTAAAAGACACACGAGCCACATGAGAAGTGTATTCACCAAGTAAAAGAAGACAGAGCTATGAATTCAATGTTTTTGTTTTTCATGACACAGACTGGCATTTGCTAACTTCAGGCGTGATGATGGTTACCCATTTAGACAGTTTTAAAGAAGAATTGGACAGATTCATGGAGGATCAACTTAACAGTGGCTACTAGGCTTAATGACTATGATTTCAGAATCCTAGGCAGCAAGCCTGGAAAACCAGCTGCTGGGGAAAAAAAAACACAGAAGGGGATTATAACTTTTCTGTATCTCTTTGTAAGTTTCCCAGATACCCCTGGTTGGGTCCATTCTTGGCCTAGTCCACAAGACCCTTCTTATATTTTTAGAAATGGCAATTAGCCCCAGATATTCAGAATACTTTTTGCAATCATCCTTGCACATATTCACCAATACCCACTGAGAAGACTGGGGCCTTTTCACACTTGAAACTGGCTCAAGTGCCAGGGAAGCAGCCTATATCTATCCTTTCTAAGCTGCGTGAACCCAAGTGTCGTACTAGCTTAGTTGCAGCAAATATAAGCCCACTCAGCTGCTGATGCAAATAAAAGAAAATGCTCCCCCCCCTCTTTTTTTTAACATACAGGATGATTTGCAATGGAAGCAGCAAATAATTAAAAATGGCTAGAAGCCTATATGTGTTGCTTGGTAGCAGTATAGTTATTTTTCATCTTTTCTTTTTTAATATTCTGTTTGCAGGAATGGTGAACAGAGCATCTAAAATAACCACTTTCACATTGCAACAAACACATCATCATTTGCTTAAAAAGAGTTATAATTACAGTTGACGAAGCATGCCCACCATAAAAATGCATTAGTTTAGCTTGACACATTAATTACCTGTTTTTGCAGATGTTTTTATATATTGTTGTGCGAACAGATTACAAAATAATTACAGGAAAGTCATATGGAAAACAAGCTAAGGGGGTGGTTTCTCGCCTAAATATTTTCATTCATGTGAATTTGTGCGAGGCACAGCTGCAGTATAGCAAATGGGGAGAGAGAGAGAGAGAGAGAGAGGAGGAATCTCGAAGGGTTTTTATTTGAAGGTCTCTGTCATCAGCATTATCACACTTTTTATGTCTATTCAGAGGAGGATCTTTTTTTTAAAAAAAATAAATCAACATTGCCTTATTTATAAAAGTCTGATTCAGGTAAAAACCCTCTGATCCTCATCAAATGAAACACAAATATCTGCTGGTATCAAGGAAGACATCTAAATAGAAAATGAATATTTTGTTTGAAGAAAGATGACCTTGCTTGATTGTGCTATAAAGATTAATTAAAAGCTTTAATATACCTAACACACATTCCTGATGTTTTTTAATGTTTTTTTTTAAAGTCTCAAAGCATAAAAATCTCAAGGATTATTCAGAAGTAATGTGACTTCATACTCTGTTAAAAATCTCAGGACACATGAAGGCAATGTGAACTTGAATATTTAAGAATCATTAATTGCAACTTTGGCATTTAATGTTTTTAGCAATACAGTTAGAGGTATTATTTTTTTAGCAGGGATGTTATTTCAGAGCCAAACATTAATTGTTATAAATAATTGGTATTGTAATTCTTTCATTTAAGGAGAAACAAGACATAACTGAAAAATAGCACATTAAAAATATTTACATTATGAGATATTAAGTAATTAATTATATATAACATTCAACCCATGTAACAGATAGTAAAATGAAAATCTAAAATTTGGCATATCTGAAAATTAAGACAATTCTAAGTCCAGTGAATGAGTATCTGAGAAAAGTAGAAAGGAGGAACAAAAGAGGATAGAAATTCACTAATTTGGTACTATCATAACCCACTAAACATTATATAACTAATCCCTAGATTGTGTAGTGGCTTTTTGTTTCTTTCTGGGTATATGAGTGTCTAGGAGTTTTAAGATAAAAAAAAAGTGTGCCATAGGAATTTGAAGGTTTAAGCCTCCCATTAGAACATCATAAAATTCTAAAAAAAAAAAAATAAAAATGGCCATATCTATTGAGGAAAGAGGTGCTTCACCCCCCTGCTCCCTGCTAGGCAGCTAAATTTTGTGAAAATTTGTTCTTGTATAGGAGTGTGTGTTTGCTGTGATTGATTTTATATATTACAGGCAAGATTTTATGAAAACACTGGGAACACATTATCTCATGGGGATATGTTTGTACTAACATTGGAATAGAGAGGAAAATAAAGTGCAGTAGCTCAAGGCAAGATGCCCACTTTCCCATGCTTTTGGAAGTGTGTGAAGGCTTGGCCTGTTGACTTGCATGGGGATCTCAGAGGAACACACAATCTTGGGGTTGGTAAATGCCTTGAGAGCCCTCCCCCTGCCCTTTTAACTTTGATTATTCTATCCTTGTTTGAATGGCCTCCTTTTATTGAAATACAGATAGTCCTTGACTTACAACCGCAATCGAGCCCAAAATTTTTGTTGCTAAGTAAGACATTTGTTAAGAAAATTTTGTTCCATTTTACAACCTTCCTTGCCACAGTTGTTAAGTGAATCACTGCAGTTGTTAAATTAGTAACACGGTTGTTAAGTGAATGTGGTTTTCCCATTGACTTTGCTTGTCAGAAGATCGCAAAAGGTGATCACTTGACTCCAGGACACTACTACAATCATAAATGTGAGTCAGTTTGCAAGCGTCTGAATTTTGATTATGTGATCATGGGGATGCTACAACAATGTTAAAAACAGTCGTAAGTCACTTTTTTCAGTGCCATTGTAACTTTGAACAGTCACTAAATGAACTGTTGTAAATCAAGGATTACCTGTACCAGAATTTTATATGTTTTTTATATAAAATTTTGAGATATATATCAAATTAACATCTTTGTGAGATGTGAGCGATCTGACAGATCTGAGTGAGATGGGCAGTTTGTAAATTTCATATATAAACATAGAAATAATGTAGGAACAGAAAATACTTAAACAGGATCTAGGATTGGAAGGCTACACATTACCGTGGATCATATTAGGGAATCTGTAGAACAGTTATATGGAAAAAAAGTGAAGGCTGGGATAAGTAGATCTTGCATGTTTGGAGTGGAGGGTGAAAGAGTTTCAATAAACTTTCTGTGAAATAGGATTCTGTTACAGAAAAAAATGGGTTCAGTAGCATTGTTCTGCATTTTTGGTGTTGAGACATTGTCGTAGATGTTTGCACGTGGGTGTCTAGTGATATACTATCTTAACTATAGTAGCCATTTTTTGATGAACATCCTGTGGTAGCCATTTGGTGATAGGAGCAACAATGCATTAAAATTTCTATTGTAATTACTTTTCCAGAAAAAAAGATTTGTGTCTTGAAATTTCTTGGACTATAACTGAAAAAGAAATTGTTGCAGAGATTTCAGGCTTATAAATATATTCCTTTATGGTACACAGGAGAATCAAGTCCAACTCGTCGTGAAGCAGTGAAGAGGAAGACTTCAGAATATCTGATGAGAGCAGAAAAAATTTCCAGTCTTTACTGTAGACCCTCATCAGAAGATGCCTCAGTACTTGGCGTAGGTTTTTTTTTTATTTCTAAAATAATTTAATTTTCTTGTGTTTGTGTTCACGTATGTACATATGTTGTGCCTACTTCACAACTGATTGAATTTCTCTGGTCCTATTTGATTCTTCAGAAATGTTACATATTTATCCATTATTAAGAAAGAATACCTCAGCCAGGATCAGCATTAACATCATTATATGTAGCTAAGGAAAGCAGTTTTTAATTTTTTTCCTTGTTAGTAAGGTAAGAACAAGTAAATTGCTAGAGAGATTTCTGTAACCCTGAATTTAGAGAAGATATGGAGGTAATCCTTAGATCTTATTTGTGAGGATCAGACAATCTGTTATTTTGAGCACAGATTGTGTGTGTATTAGAGAAATAATTGGGGACGGGGTTGTCTTAGATTGGGATCCTGGTGTGGTAAACATGGAGTGTTAATTCTTTTGCTGCTATCCTATCTGGATTGTGTTCTGTGTTCCTGAAATTATCATTGCCAAGCAAAAGAATTAACAGCATAACAGAGTTGGAAGGGACTTTGGAGGGTTTCTAGTTCAACCCTCTGCTCAGGCAGTAAACCTTATACCATTTCAGACAAATGGTTGTCCAATCTCTTCTCCAACTTCCAGTGTTGGAGCATCCACAACTTCTGGAGGCAAATCATCCCACTGATTAATTATTCTCACTGTCAGGAAATCTCTCATTAGTTCTAGGTTGCTTTTCTCCTTGATTAGTTTCCATCCATTACTTCTTGTCCTGCCTCCTGGTGCTTTGGAGAATAGCTTGACTCCCTCTTCTGTGTGGCAGCCCCTTAGATATTGGAACACTGCTATCATGTCACCCCTAGTCCTTCTTTTCATTAAACCAGACATACCCAATTCCAGCAACTATTTTTCTTATGTTTTAGCCTCCAGTTCCTTAATCATCTTTGTTGCTCTTCTCTGCACTCTGACACCAGTGGGGCCTTATTAAACTCCTTTCCTCCAGGGAGGAGAAGGAGAGGAAGGGTCAGAACAATACTTTGCTCCTGATCAGGTTGAGCTTTCCATGAAGTCAGTTTGTCAAAACAAAAAATGCTGCATTCAGAATGCAGACAGTGCAGAAACACATAATATCAGATAAAGTGAAATGATAGCGAGGTCAGATTTGGAGAAAAAGCAGATTGGGAACATTGAAGAAGAGAAAGTGTCCTGAGGTTGTTTTTTTTTTTAAAATACTTTTAAAAGAAAGAGATAGCACTAATACGGCATTTGTAGTATTGGAATTGCTGTATTTGTTCTTGAACTCCAAGCCTAAGAGCTTTTTGACAAATCTTGGCTTTACTCTACCTCAGTAACAGCAACAATATAATAAAATGAACTTCGCTGGGACCTTTTTGTTCACACTCTGGGAATCTTTGCTACAGCTCTGGTGTGATTGTTGGTGATTGCATTGGTGTAGACATGTTAAAAATTCAGATTCCCACTTGGATCAGAAAATGGCCACAGAGTCGTTGGCTTTACTTTAAACAACCCTGATAATAGTTTAAGGCAGATCTTCAGTGGAGATAGAGGAATGGTGCAGCGTTGAGCATACAGAGAAATAATCTATTGAACTGGACAGCAATTACTCTGTTTTTTAAGCCTGTTTTCATACAGAGAAAAAAAAACTGGGGGAAATCTCTTCTGCAATAGAAGTCTTCATGTAAGCTTTGAAGGATTCCTCAGTTCCCCCTCCTCTTGTGGACTGCTTAATTTTAACTTAATTTGTAGATATGCATATGTGAAGGGGGACCCAGCCATAGCAGAGACTGAAGTTAAAATTTCCTTAGGGTTCTTTCCAGCATTATAATACTGATCTGCTTAATGAAAGACAAATTTCTTTATATGACAGTGAATTCTATGTGCAAATTTGCATAATTACCAGAGGTAATCTGTCTATTTTGTCACTACTATGTGTGACTTGAAGGAGATTCCACCTATTTATGCAGAATTGTGTAGCGAAAGAATCCAAGATATAAAAATATAGATGTGAGAGGCCCAGGCTCAAATAATAATTTTGATGTACATCCTAGCTTCAGCCTTCCATTTTCAAAATCCAGTTTTCTCAGTATCCCTTTTTACATTCTCTGGAATAAATTTAACCAAGTGCAAGCTGGAATAAAGTGTAAAAGCTATATGTTTGAAATTTACCAAAAGCAATCTATAGCAAATTTGGGGCATTCTTATTCCCAATACATAGGTTAGTTTTGGCAATCCAGCCAGAGTGGAACAAGCTTCTTGCAGTGCCTATCAGTGTTTATTAAGTGAAAAAGTTAGGAAAAAAGAAAAAATTATACCAGTGTTTTCTGTCTTTTAAAACATCTCAAGTCCTAGCCATTACTGCTCTGTAACAGGATGGAATAGGGAAAACTTCCTGGAAAGTGGAGGTAACCTTTTTTATTTCTGATTCTTTCAGTAATTCTACCTGGGTAATAAAATAGGATAAAGGCTTATATTCGTTCAATCGTTCGTTCATTCGTTCATTCATTCATTCATTCATTCATTCATTCATTCATTCCATTCCATTCCATTCATTCTTACCCCTCCTCCCCTCAAAGTTGTTCCTGAAGATTTGTGAAAATGTTAAGATTTCATCAAGCTATTTCTTCTTCTTTTAATTCACAGACTAATATAGTTCAGCCTTTAGACTGTCCTCCGTATAAGAATTCATACTTTGCTTTTAAGCTGCCATATCAGAAGGAATGTTGCTATTGTAATTAATTTCATATTTACAGGCAGCCTTACTTTATATTAGTTTTCTTCATCCAGATTTTACCTCATTTTCTCATGAAATATAATGTTATGTTCAGAATGGCTTGTGATAGTAGGACAAAAATAGAGTAATTTAAGTATGTGAAAAACATCAAACCTAGGTTTTCTCTGATTATGGATGGCCCTGAATTAGAAAATACTTGTAAAGCATATTATTTGCCTTAAACATAATTTTAAGAATTGTAAACAGTTCTATATTACCTAATGAACTATGTTTGGGCATGAATATGAATGTATGAGTTTTCAATTTTCTCCTCTGTGTTTTGATTGATCTTGAATATTGCTAAATGATGTTTATAGGTGCACTTTTGTAAGAAAACCCAATTTTCTTTCCCTGAAGGGAGTTGCCCATGAGGGTTAGTCTTCTGGACTGGCTAATTTCCATTAGCATTACCAAGTGTATTAATAATAATAATAATAATAATAATAATAATAATAATAATAATAATAATAATAATAATAATAGTAAAGTTGGAAGGGACCTTGGAGGTCATCTAGTCCAACACCCTGCTCGGGCAGGAAACCCTACACCATTTCGGACAAATGGCTGTCCAGTCTCTTCTTAAAAACTTCCAGTGTTGGAGCATTTACTGCTTCTGGAGGCAGGCTGTTCCACTGATTAATTGTTCTCACTGTCAGGAAGTTTCTCCTTAGTTCTAGGTTGCTTCTCTCTTGATTAGTTTCCACCCGTTGCTTCTTGTCCTGCCTTCAGGTGCTTTGGAAAATAGCTTAATTCCCTCTTCTTTATGGCAGCCCCTGAGATATTGGAATACTGCTATCATGTCCCCCCTTGTCCTTCTCTTCGTTAAACTAGACATACCCAATTCTCGCAACCGTTCCTTATATGTTTTAGCCTCCAGTCCACTAATCATCTTTGTTGCTCTTCTCTGTACTCTTTCTAGAGTCTCAACATCTTTTTTACATCGTGGTGACCAAAACTGGATGCAGTATTCCAAGTGTGGCCTTACCAAGGCATTGAAGAGTGGTATTAATACTTCACGTGATCTTGATTCTATCCTCTGTTAATGCAGCCTAGCACTGTGTTGGCCTTTTTGGCAGCTGCAGCACACTGCTGGCTCATATTTAGGTGATTGTCTACTAGGACTCCGAGGTCCCTCTCACAGTTACTACTATTGAGCATGTGCCACCTATGCTGTACTTGTGCATTTGGTTTTTCTTGCCTAAATGTAGAACCTTGCTTTTTTCACCATTGAATTTCATTTTGTTAGTTAGTGCCCCGTGTTCAAGTCTGTCCAGATCCTTCTGTATCTGAAGCCTGTCTTCTGGAGTGTTGGCTATTCCTGCCAGCTTGGTGTCATCTGCAAATTTGATGAGTTCCCCATCTATCCCTTCATCCAAATCGTTGATGAAGATGTTGAAGAGTACTGGGCCCAGAACAGAGCCCTGGGGCACCCCACTGCACACTTCCCTCCATATAGATGCAGTTCCATTGAGGACCACTCGCTGAGTACGGCCGGTCAGCCAGCTACGGATCCATCTGGTGGTGGTTCTGTCTACCCCACCTTTTTCTATCTTGTCAAGTAGTAGGTTGTGATCTACTTTATCAAATGCCTTACTGAAGTCCAAGTAAATTATGTCCACAGCATTCCTCTGATCCACTAATTTTGTCACTTGGTCAAAGAATGCAATAAGATTTGTCTGGCATGATTTATTTTTGACAAACCCATGTTAGCTTTTAGTAATGACTTTGTTTGCCTCTAGGTGTTCGTTGATTCGTTGTTTGATTATCTTTTCCAGGATCTTCCCAGGTATTGAGGTCAGGCTGATAGGTCTGTAATTTCCTGGATCCATTTTTTTCCCTTTTTTGAGGATGTGAACTACATCAGCTCTTTTCCAGTCCTCTGGTAGTTCCCCTGTGTTCCAGGATCTTTGAAAAATATAGTTCAGTGGCTCCGATATTACATCTGCCAGTTCCTTGAGAACTCTGGGGTGTAATCCATCTGGTCCTGGCGATTTGAACTCATTATACAAAATAAAATAACACAAGTCTTTCTGTGATTTCATTGGAGAAATTCCCTAGTGTGTTCCCTCAGTACTATACCTAGATTTAGGACACATCATAAACTCTTATGACTTAATGAGAGTCTGCAAATTCTTGCCTACAGAAGTTAACTGGAAACCGGTCAGCTTATGTAGAGAACCGAGGTGGCAGAGCCCAGAAGTGCAAAGTGGCCTATTCCATTTCAGATTGCAGTTTTGAGTGGCGTGTATTGCCATCAGGTTGGTGATTATAAAGATGATAGGCAACTGAAGATGACAAGGAGAAAGAATGCTTCCATGTAGATGAGGAAAATGATTAATATTCAGCTATGTGGCTTTATTTATGGGTCATTTGTTGTATTCTTAGGGTAATACATTCCTTGAAATTCTGTAGTAGATCTCATCAAGGTTGAAAACTTTTTTTTAAAATAAATTTATTCATTTAGTAACAAACGTACTTGTCCTCAAACTTTCTTTCAAGTGAAGGCATCGCACACACAATATTATTTATGAATATGCTTGATTTTATGACCCCATTTCTGTTCCTTTATAATTTGAGTAATAATGTATATGAATAAGGTCTCCAGCATTGTACCCAAGTTTTCCTGCTTGCATAAAGTACTAGGGAACTGTATGAATTGTGAATATTTAAAAAAATATTAATATTCCTTTCTGCCCTATATCCATTTTTATCTCTTGCAAATTATTTACTATCAACTTATTTTTTTCCTCTTTGCATTAAGGACAAACAGAAAACTTCTTTCATCTGCCTTCCCTCTGATTTATGATAAATTTAGTTTCCTTCAGCCTGGCATTTGCTTCAGCAGGCAACCTTCCTTCAAGTACCACCCTGATTGATGTTGTAATCTTTGATATCTTCCATTAGCCTCCAGGATCACTCAGTTCAAGGCCCTCTTGGAACCTAAGGAGCCCTGCCGAGGAACTGAAGGCCTTTCGAGTCCTTGGGGTGATTGACAAGGTAATTCTTCAGTGTCTCTTCAAGAGTTCAGTCATAAATCGACTGCATGCTGACATTTTGTCTTTGAAGCTGCTGTTCTTAAGGATATGAAACAAAGGAGGAAAATGACTCAGATGCATCTGCACTTTAAAATAACAAAAGTAGAAGGAAAAGAAAGGCTTTTATCTAAGCAATTCATGTAAGGTCATGCAAAATATATTTGAGTAAAAGAATTATGTTTGGTTCCATTCTGTGAGAAGGGCCTTGTTTTAAAAAGAATTGCTCTGCGCGCTGTCAGAAAGTTGCCAAGATGGTACCAGGGGACAAACAACTTTGAAAGAAGGCAAGCTGGAAAATTCGACAGCCATAACTCAAAAATTGAGCTCAAACACCAGCAAAGTTTTCTTCAGTATTGTTTACTACATTTTTGATAGAGCCAATTATTTAATCTTTTTTCTAGGTCTGCTGGTTCTTCTTTCCTCAAATCTCCAGGTGATACAAATAATGAATGAAATTTGGCTAACTGAAATACCTAAAATAAAGCTGCTTCGAGTTTGGTCTAGTGCAGGGGTAGGCAACCTTGGCTCTTTTATGACTCATGGACTTTAACTCCAGAATTCCTGAGAGTTGAAGTCCACGAGTCATAAAAGAGCCAAGGTTGCCTACCACTGGTCTAGTGGTTAAGGCACCAGGTTAGAAACCAGCAGACTGTGAGTTTTAGTCTTGCCTTGGCATGAAAGCCACGAAAGCCAGCTGGGCGACTTTGGGCCAGTCATTTTCTTTCAGCTTATGAAACAACCACCACAGTCACCATCTTGGCTTATTTATAAAAATAATAAAGGCAAGATATAAAAGTCTAAAAATGATTGTTGATGTTTAATGATGCTAGATACTGTATTATCAAATGAAACTGGGTTAATAGGTTATAAAGAAAGATACTGATGGCAAATAGTTGGTATAGTTTAGCCAACTTTTTGAGCTAAATGTTGAAAATCCTTGGTTCCAGTGTCAATTCATTCAAAACTTGTATTGGTTATTGAAAGACAATCAGATCTTAAGATTGTTTGAATTCTTGAAATAGATTTGCAAAATTCTTAGGACAAATATGGAAGATACTATAGAAATACTAATGTATAGAAAACCAAGGAATAAATATACAATGTTTATGTGTTCCTATGATCTTCCATGAGTTCCTTGAGAGAGTTAAAATGCCTTTTAAAGGTTGTTGTAGAAAAATATATTTAGTTGGATACTAAATATTCTTAATCTTCTTAAAAATATACAATGCCCGATGGTATGTGAACTAGTATCAGAGACTAAATTCTAGTGGAAGCTGAAGTTGGTACACATTTGCTAGAAGTGAGAAGGGAGCGGGATGGATTAGAGTGACTAGGATAGAACCAACCACTTTACAGTATATTTGTTTTGTTGTTGTTAATAAAGTAAAAAAATAAAAATGTAGCAGGCATATGGGATTTTGGCTGACTCAAGGTAATCCTTGTAGCAAATGGGCTAATCAAATCAGGAATGGCCAATTGGTTACTGAAGGTGAACCAGTTTAATCTAAACTGTAGCAAATTTATTATATTATAATCTATATGTGGCAAATAGGAAGGGCTTTCCAATTTGGGTATGTATGTGCGTCTGAGAGAGTAAGTCTGCCTTTTATGTTAAAACTGGTTTTAGATTTATGACAGTGGCCATAATGTCCATGAAAAGAATGATTTGTGTGGCAACAATTTATATCTAGCCAAGTGTCTGGGGGAATAAGATGTCCCTCAGAATAAATGGATACATACCTCTACTATTGTTTTATATTACATCTCTGCACTGTTATCCTTGTGATTAATTATCATATTAATCAATCATTGTCTATAGGCCAGTAGCACTCAACCTTTTGGGGGGCCTTGAGCTGTACCTGACCACTGAATAGCATGCAAGGGCTATAGTCCAAAACTGGCACCACCAGGGTTGGTGGAAGCAGGAGAAAAGTGAGGTTTGATTTTAATATTGTATATGAAATATGTTCAGTATGATCACTTGTTATAAATATAACAATTTTCCCTTTCTTCTGTTATATTCATTTTACAATTTGGTAGAAATCTCTGGATCAGTCTTTCTGAACCTTGGCAACGTGAAGATGTGTGAACCTTAACAATTTGAAGACTGACTAGGGAATTCTGGGAGTTGAAGGTCACACTGCTTCAAGCTGTCAAGGTTGAGAAATGCTGGTCTAGAGTGGAAGTTGCACTAGGTTTGCACCTTTGTTACAGGTGGTTTAGAACCCCAGAATCTAGACTGTTTAAACAATTAAAATAGCTGAAGCCATTATGAACAATTAAGACATCCTTTAAAACACAAAGATGGAATTGTGCTCATTTTTAAAAATCTTAATAAGGTTCCATGATTTAGTAACAAGTGCTTACACTTGTATTTAGAATTTCTTTCACTAAGAATTGGAGAAAGCTCACCCAGTGCTGTAAAGCTTGTAAATGCAATAGCTGAAAAGCAGTTAACAAGCAACTTCCAAGGTGATTAGAAAAGGATGTACGCAAACTCAGTGTCCTTTTGAAGGTACCAATTGTAGTTTGAGCAAGATTTTTATTCTCTCATCTCCCAGAGTGCTAAATCTACCAGATACCACTGTGTTGCTGTCTCCTCATGATGATTAATTGTATGGAGCACTTGTGGATGATCTCAGGTCCTCTCCTTGTCTGGAGAGGCTTTACAGAGAGTCTATTGGCTCTTCATTCTGGCGTGTTCATTGGGGCCATCTTCAGTTTGCCATTTTTTCCATGCAAGTCCACAACTTTTCAAGTTCCCCACCATCCTTTGGAAAGAAAAAGAAGCTAGCCCCCCCCCCCCAAATCAGTCTCTTGCTTAAGTAGAAATTTTTGTTTCCTAGCCAGGAGCCTGTTCTTCCTAGTCAAATGTAAAACTGATAATTTAAAACTAAAAAGAACCTTTCCATAATTTGAAAAAGGAATTGGAAAAAGTTATCTTCTGGGGAAAAACAAGGAAATAACACAGGGTAGTGTGGTGAGATGATAAAGCAATTGCTCCAGTTAGTAGGCCAGTTCAGTTTACTTTAACAACCTGTGGAGATGGAAGCTTTTATTCTAGATTCTTAATTCATCCAGTTATGTCCTTGTGACCTTGGCAAGGAGTTGAATAAGGTGACTAATGGCTCGCCATATTCTTTGCTTCTGGTGGCTTGCCTGTTGCCTGCCTCTGGGCCTGCGGCTCCCCTTCTGCCAACTTCTGTATTCCTTCGGCCTCTAATCTTGGCACTTTGATGCATATGTTCTGAAGGTGGCCACCATGACTTGGGGTGGCAGCAGATGGTAACCCTTCAGGCTGCCACCAGCTATGCGGGTGTTAAGTTAGAAACTTTGCTTTTGATGAAGAGTCAGCAGTGCATATGAAAGAGCTCTTGCTGCAGAAGTATCTTTTAATTAAAAAATTAGCATACTGAAACAGTTGCTAATGTCTATGTGTTTAAAGGCATCTAAAATCAACTATTTTCTTTAGGCTAAAGAATGATTATTTACCAGCATTTTGCTCTCCTATTTTTTCTTTTTTCCCCAGTGCATTTATTTATAAACCATTTTTTTTCTTTATAGCAGACTGAACTGCTGGATCCCAATCAAAACACTCAAAAATTTATGTGTAATTTTGTGAAGTGGGATAAAAGTAGTGTTGACTTCACCTCTCCCCACATAAGCCCTTTGTAGGGAAACAAGGTTGCAATCTGTGTAATACTTAACCGACAACAAGCCTATTAAATTCAGTGGGAATAACTGTGGCGTAAACTACTATGTAATTGCACATTTGTGCTTTCTATTAGCATGTATTTTTGCTCAACAGGACTAGAATCACAGTATGTTTAACTTTTGAAATTCAGAAACTAAAGAACTCTTAATCTTTTGGAGCCTTTCCTTCTTTTAAACTTACTCGGTGCTCTCATATATTCTGTTTCATATATGGCAATTTGTCCTAAGTTACACACATTTTTGTACCTTTAATATGGTTCTTGGAGACTGAAAGTACTGTCAAAGCACAAAGATTCCTTTGAAGGGGCTGATGCGGTTTTTCTAGTTGTTGTTTAAAAAAACATGATCTGCATATTTGTTTTTAATGCATTTTTCAGGCATTTGCTGTCATTATTTTGAAAAATAGTAGACAGGTATTGTTTTGGCTTTAATATTATTTAAAATAAGCTAGAGGAAACTGGAGCCACTTAGGCCAAGTCTGGCTCCTCAGGAACACTGCCTGATCCTTTATTTATTAAGGAAGTTGGTAATCTGAACTTCTAGTTCATCTTATCCCCCTAGTTTACTCAGGAAAACATTAACTGACTTTAAGCAGGTTGAGCAAAAGTTAGCTCTTGCTGATTTGTAAATCAGTTTTGTTCCATGATTCCCAGTAACTCAATAATAGCAATAAAACAATACAAGAGCATGGTATTGGGTTGGGTTTTCCTTTCTAGCCCTTCCAGTAAATAGTTATCTGCTTCAGGATAAGGACCAGTAATGGTTATGGAAGTTTCTTCAGAGAGATGTGTTGCAGTGGGAGGTTAATTGCAGAAAGGGACCAGAGCTGAATTATATGTTATTTGCTTTGCATTTAAAAAAAAATATCAGATGGGTTGTAGCATCTTCATTTAAAAGACTCAGTTATTTTATAATGTGAAAGATGTTTGCCCAAGATTGTGGAGAGTTACTGATAGAAAGAGTAGGCATTAATAGAATTAGATAGACAAATTGTTTGTCCTGATATAAGAAAACTTCCTCTGTCATTATTTTGATACATGTAGCACTATAATAGATAAAGAATTTATGTTGTTGTAAGTCTATAGTTATTTTGGTTGTGCATGCTGGGTGGATGGATGGGAATTCAGAGTGCAAAATCTTGGAGGTGGGGGGAGAGCTACAAGTTCTCCACTGTGCTGGAATATGTATGAAGACACCTAATAATACATATATTTCACACTTCTTTGGTAAACAGTGTATTCATTCATTAAAAAATGAAATAAGGAAAAGATGAGCAATTTACTCAGTTCACTTTTTCTCATTTGCTTTCTCTCATAAGGGGATCCTGTTGGTGTCCTATTTTTTTATAATGTGGCATCAACTGTCACAGAGAAATTGTATCAAACCATAGACTGGCAAACCTACCATAAATGGTAATTCCACATTTGACAAGAATAGAAGCGTGAGCTACACTCAAGGTTATTCATAGAGATTCTGAAGCAACTAAGAAAAATTATCCTGATATAGTTTATGATCTGTGAGTGAGTGATTCTTGCTTAGACAACATATTCAATTAAAGCTTTGCTGCATAGTAGATAACTGTAGATAAACAAATATGTGGAATTAAAAGCTTTCTTTTAATTGTAACCATCCCAAAAACAATATGCTTATCAAAGGTAATTATTTCATATTGGCTTGGTTATAGCAGTTGTTTTATCCTGAAATGAAAGTTTGTGTTGGGTGCTTTTGATTGGGAAGACGGTCATATCAAATTAGTTCAAATTAGATTTTTGTCTTTAGAAAGGTGAGCAAAGCCATGAGCAGTGTTATTAAATTGTGTGTTCTACCCTATAAATGATCCAGCCCTCTTGAGGGTTAAAGAAGTGATTATTCTGTCCTTTATGCTGATGGCTTCACTACCGATTAGCCTAGTGTTGGTTTTTTTTTGTTTTGTTTAAATGCTTGGCTCCTTATGATCTTTTGTGTATGCAGTGATTATATTAATGCAGAGTCGTAAGCCCATTCATTAAGAAATGACTCTAAAATGAGATTGCTTCGTGTAAATTTGGAGAGCTGCAGATGCTGTGTACAGACGTTTCTTCATGCTATTAGCCTTATGGCTAATAATTTCCAAGTGGCTAAAGCTCTTGTTAGCAAGAGTGCTGGGGTATTAAGAATGACTCTATAAATAACTTTAAGAAGGGAAGTTGAAGGTGCTTCTTTTTAAAGACTATTGTTAACTAAATATTATTGCCAAACAGATGGAAAGCATTCACCAGCCTGATGTTTTTACTCTAATTATATTATCTCCAGTCCTGTACGGCTCAGTTGAAGAGGTGTATCCAGGGGCCAATTTATAATCATTTAACCAACACCTGTTTGGGAAAAATTGACAGTCAAAGGGCACATTAAAAAAAAATCACATATGTTCTTGTATTTACTACCTCAATGTGAATGTTAGCTAGCTGCAAATAAACTTGGTTGAAAAGGCAAAGTCCCTAGGAAAATTGACGCATCATTTTTAACCATTTTTATCTATTTTAATTTGGCATGTCTTTCACTCCACATGTCTTGTGGCTAAAGAGGGACACTACAATTCAGTTGTCTTCTTGTGATTTATCCCATCAGTTCCTAGTCCATTTTTAAATTGCCCTTATTTACTATCTTGATGAACATTTATCAACTTATGACATAACACATGTTTAAAGCATGCTTTTTCTCCTTGGGCATGCTTAAATTCATATTTATATAGGCAGCATTATTACTGAAATATTTCTTAATTCTACATATATGTGTTTCCACACACGTGTGTGTGCACTTCTCACCTGTGTGTGTATGCATATATTGGTTTGAAGATCAGATAAGCCTTTACCCACCCTACTAAGTGTGAATACACAAGAACTGCTCTATAAGTGAGATGGGCCATTTAGAAATTTGATAAATAAATAAGCGAATTAATAAACTCATGTTCAGAGCTAATTGTGGTTTTTCCTGAGATGAGTCTATATTACAGGTATTCAGAAAATACAAGCCCAGGTGAGATTTTGTCACTCCTTGGTCCTGTTCCACACTATGTTTCACCTCTGATCTAGTCAAACATCCTTAGCAATGTTTTGGCAACACACTGTAACCAGATCAGAAATCACTTCTCTATTGGCCACACAGAGGCAGTACTGTTAGGGGTACTGTACTTCCTGGAGTAGTGTGGTAGGCTCTTCTCTATTGGCCACACAGAGGCAGCACGGGGAGCAGCTTGGTCATGGTAGCCAATCAGGGTTTTGAAAGGGATACAGGATCTAGGCTGCAAAACTCTAATGCAATATTTACTGTACTATATTTCTTTGCTACCACCTAGTGGTTGAATGGATTTTTGCAGACCGTATATATTAACCATTAGAGATTAATTCTGGGCTGCCAGGTATCAGAGGGAATTCTGTAATAAAGTAGCTAGCTCTGGTTTGGGTTATATTCAGTCCCTTGGAACTAGTTGAGTGGGTTAATCTATCCCTTTTTGATGTTCCTGCAACACATAACCAACTCCTCTCATTGAGGCAATAAAATATATTGTGGTAGAATCAGACAAGGAAGCCAACTGGGTGACCTTTGGTTAGTCACTTTTTCTCAGCTCCAAAACTGCCAGCTGCAGAACAAACCCTTTTGTGTTGTGCATTGATAGCTTCACTGTGTGGACTAGGCAAGTGCAGCACAAAAAGTGTATCCCACGATTAAGCGGGGCAAATGCTCAAAAGAAAAACAATGCTGGCTTACTTGCCAAAATAACTCTAGATGGTGTTTAAAGATAAAAATAACAATTTAAAATAGAAACTATGAACCATCCACAGTGGGAAGCAATAATGTAAACAATATACATCAGCAGGGTTATAAATTGTCTTCATATGGGGATTGTTGATAAAAGCTAGATCTTAATAACTTTCCTAAATGTCCACATGGTCAGAACCATAAGGGCTTTGGGGGTGGGGGGAATGTTGTTCCAGAGGACAAGAATAGCCTCAGGGAAAGCCCATTTCCAAGGTCCTGCAAGATGGCATTGCTTTGCTTATGTGATTGGAGCATGCTGATTCTGCCAGATCTCAGTGGACAGGCAAAAACAATCACAGTCCTGCTAGTATCTAGGCCCCAAGATGGGAAGAGTTCTTTAGGGACAGTGTTTCTCAGCCTTAGCAACTTTCAGATATATAGACCTCAGCTTGCAGAATTCCCAATCAGCAATGCTTAGAACGAAGTTCACACATCTGAAAATTGCCACGTTTGAAAACTACTCCTCCAGGAGATAACCAATACATTGAATTACATGTGAAACCCAACTAGTAGCTAGTACAGCTCATCAGTAAAGGGATCAGATGGATGAAATGAGATATACCCATGTAAGGACTTGCCTATTGCATTCAGGACTATTTAGAGCAGGTGTGTGCAACCCATGGCCCCTGGTCTGCCTGTGGCCCTGGATAGCTAGTAATGCAGCCCCACAAGATTGTAAAGATTGTAGCTATATTATATATTTTATATATAGCCCAAGACAATTCATCTTCACTTAGTGCGGTGCAGGCAAGCCAAAAGGTTGGGTACCCATTATTTAAAGCTTCCGCTTGGTCTTAAAGGAAAGCCCCATGTAAAGCATATTGCATGTAGTAGCTCAAATGAAAACTATCTAAAGTACAATTGACCATGAATAGGTCTTCCCAAATGATAAACAAACATACATGTAGCAGATATATCTGCAAAAAACCTTGGGGGCTTCCACTTGCTCATTGTTTTTCTAAGAATGAGTCTATTCCTCCTCAGCCAGACTCCATTAGATTCCAGGCGCTGCGACAGGATTTTGACTAACAAGCATGATTAGTTCTTGACCATGAATTAATCCAAGCTATTCTAGAGACAAGTAAGTTGACAGTTCTCACTGCATCTTGTTTACATTTAAAAGTTCTGCATGAAGTGGGTCAGTATAAGAAACCTCAGTGCTGTTTGCTATGCCTTACAGAACAGTACATACAACTTTAGTTCTGCTGCGGTATGTATGCTGGATCCAAAAGCAGGAATAGATAGCAAACATTCAGGGCTTTCATGTACTTTTTTTTCAATCGACTACGCTTATGAGATTTGTTAATGAACTGTTCTTGGAATAGCATAATTTTGCAGGTGAAAATAATTTTGAACTTTAAAAAAAACTTTCTTATTTTCACGTCACTTTTTTGTTTTTAAATAATGTAGCAAACCTGCTATTTTGTGAGATTACAAGGACGGCCATGCCCTTTTCTGCCTGCCATTTTTAATGCCTATAAGTATTTCATTTAAAATAATTAATTGCTTAAAATATGCTTCTGCTAATTAGAGATAGATTTTAATTGACACCATTACTGATTTACTTTTAAATAATCAGTCTTATTGATTTATTGATTAAGTATGAGCCGAGGTGGCGCAGCAGTTAGAGTGCAGTACTGCAGGCCACTTTAGCTGACTGTGTTCAGCAGGTCAGCGGTTCAAATCTCACCGGCTCAAGGTTGACTCAGCCTTCCATCCTTTCGAGGTAGGTAAAATGAGGACCCAGATTGTTGGGGGCAATGTAAATATATACATACATTGCTTACTGGTGTACACCGCTTAGAGAGTGCTTGCACTTAAAAGCGGTATATAAATCTCATAAATAAAATAAATAAGTATTGCAGCTATCATATCTTATAAAAAAGAAATTAATTGATATGTGTATTCCACCTGTCAGGTCCATTTTAGAGACTTATATTTCTGATCATTAGAGAGGAAATATTAATATTGATAACTGGAAAATTCTGACAGATTGGATTAATTTCAATTCTTCCATTTAGGTTTTGCTTGTAATGGATACTAGGACACAACAGACATATATACTGAAGGTAAGTCATTATTTTTCCTAAATCATTCACTTTGCCAATGGCGACTTGTTTCTCACTGCTTACAGTTCAGTCCAGAAAATCCAGAATGCAGAATGTCATCAGTCAGGTTTGTGGAGTTTGCGTTTTATCTGTTAATCTTCAGTGGCAGGCTACAGAACTAATAAATGGCTTCTGCTGTTAGCAACACTTATTTCTGCTTTGACCATCAAAGGAAAGGGAATTGTTACAGTCAGTGTCCCATGACATAGTTTACATTTTCTTCAGTGAAATATTTAGGTCAGTTCAATAACGGAAATAGTAAATATTGATATTAAAGTAATTCTTCACTCTCTCCCAGCACTTGTACTGCTTAGTTTGCCACTATTCATGTTGAATGGGAGAGGATAATTCAGGGACCACTACTGTACTTATTTATGTGGTTTTGTATATAACTGTTGTTTTCCTGTTTCCCTAGCCCACCTTTTTTTGTTTGTGTGATTCAGATTTGCTAAATCTGAATCTTTCTTAGTATTCCTCACTGTTGGCCATGTTGGCTGAGACTACTACAAGTTGTGGTACTACAATATCTGGGAGATGACTCCCCATCTATAGGATACATCACAAAGCTTTCCTCTTCCTGATGCCTTTGCCAGTATGTTGGGGCCTTCACTCCTTTAGAGTTTTCTTTTCCTATTCATCTAATATTTTTCCACTTGAAGATGCCTTTGTTTAATTTGCAAATTTGGAAGCAGTACGAAGATGACAAGGCCAGCCACAAACAATGTATGAGATGAGAGAATAACAATCCCGCATCTCTTTCTCCATTTCCTAATATCATCTGATAAAGCGGAATGAGCACAGTTAGGTCACTAAACAAAGCGGAGGGTTAGATTGAACATTTGCATAGTAGTAATGCATATTTTTGTTTTATTTGCATTGTTTTATTACATTCCTCCTCTTGACATTGCCAAGAGATGAAGAGAATCAGGGCTGGTTTCCCCCCCTCTCAGCAATAGCTGGAGGTCATGTGAAAATTAATTGTGATCTTCGATAATTCAACCACACTTTATTTATCAGGAGTGCTTCTTTCATAAGTTGTTTTGGGTTTTTTTTCTATGTGCTATCTTTAAAAATCTATAACACCTCCAGGAAACAAATCACATTACTAGTCTATCTTCTCTTTGACCCAATGGAAATGTATGCATACCCGACTCTATCAAATTGAAGGTGGGGCAAGACTTGCCTTTTGACTGTGAATGGACTTAACAGTTTGCTTTGATCCTTCAAGCTCGGCCCCTGCCCTCCCTGCCTCTCCCCCCCAGAGATATCTGGGGGAAAAAGGTCATAGAGAAATAACTGAGTGTCATTCTGATGACTTGGTTTGTGAGAGATTCTAATGAAAACATTGACCCATGTAATTGATTTTAATGGCAGCTTTGTGCCATCTTCTGTTCTCTGGATGTGCGCCAGATGCCATCAGCAGGGCCTCAGGGGACTGAGGGGCACAGAGCAGCAGATGAGTGGTTTCTCTGAAGCCTGGAGTAACTTGGATAGATTAGTTTGGTTGATAAGCACAGAGCACAGCATGCTCCAAAGGCAACTGAGGGTACAGCTGACCTTTCTGTTCTCTGTCAGGGTCTAAGAAAAAGTAGCGAATGCAGCAGGGAGAGAAAGACCATCATCCCCCGCAGTGTGCCCAACATGGTGGCTTTGCACAAGTACATCATCTCAGAGGAATCGGTCTTCCTTGTGCTGCATCACGCAGAAGGTTAGTCTGTGGATTCAGATGAGCTGTGGGAAGGGGGGAGATGGTAGGGGAGAAAGAAAGCCTCTGCTTCTTCAAGTGATACCATCAAGATGCTAGAAGTCTTCTGAACCAAAATTTTGGGGATTATCTTAAACACTGCGGCAAAGGGTGTTGAGGCATACATGCTCTTTGTTATGTTACATTATTGTTTTTTATAATTTACATCCCACTAAAGTTCTTGTAGCTCCACTATTCAGCAAAGCAGCTGCTTTCCCCTTTGGATCTAAAGCTTTCAGGTTACACAGACCAATCTTTTCCTTAAGGTGCTCTTTGAGTAAAACAGTGAGGTAAATATTTATCCCATGCAGCGATAGGCTGATTTGTTTATTCTGTTTGCAAATCCTTTCTGCTTCAAATAACAATTCCATATGATGCTCTTAGAACAAGTGATAACTGTAGGGAAATTGTCTTTAAAAAGAAGCCTTTATCTGGCTGAGAGTCTTGGTTGTTGCTGCAGTGATCCAGATGGTGAAGGATGTTTTTTATGCCTTCTGTATGTGTCAGGCAGAAACTCCACTGGTGTCTGTGAATGCATATTGCCAAATCCATAGATCCAGTCTGTACATGGGGGGCAGGAATGGTTCACTAAGGTACTTCAGTGAGACCTATGGGTCATGCATCTACATTGCAAGCATGTTCAAAGAGTTGGAACTTCTATTGTGGAGCTTCAGACGACTAACCAAATCAGGTTTCAGTTAACCAGAATCATTTCTCAAGAAAAGGTGAGAAGCTCTCCAGGTCTTGCTTGCACTGAAGCGAACAATATGAATTAAAGAGAGAAGCATATTCATTGTCACCAAATTCTTTTTGATGCTCTCCCCATGGATGCTGCTGGTTTATTTTTTTAACAAAACAATAGTTATTTTGTAAGAATAACCTGCCTAGTTGGGCTCAGTGAGAATATTAAGACAAATCCCTTGGCCTGGGTCATATAAACACGATTTACCTATAGTCAAAACACCCAAAACATAACTCCTTTGCCTGTGTACAGTCACATGTTAAAAAAATCAACATGAATGGAGTTAAGCCTAGTTTTGGCTAGTAATAGCTTCAGGACTGATCTCCAGTGCTATTTCTAATTTTGGGAACTATGTTTGCACGGTACAGTTGACTCACGCAGTAGCCACCTATTGTAAATACAGTGAGTTGAGTTGAGTTGAGGTGAGTTGGTGGCAGATGCTCAGAATCTGATAGGCCTCCAGTCATCTCAGAAGTTTTTGAGAGGCTGTTGCTTACTGTTGCCTTTTATTTTTAAAAATGCCTTTGTTTAACAACCATAGTGGCCCAATTAGGACGGGCATTGGAACCTGCCTGTTTCTTTAGCACTAGCATGCAGTAAAGTGATGCCTCATATTACTTATGTCACTGCAACTAAAGCCAGTATTTAAATTTTTAAGGTGAGCTTTACCTCCATACTTATTTAAGAATTACCATCTGGAAAAAGTTGTATATAGATAGGAGATGGAGATGCTCCAGTCATATGTCAAACAACTATAGATTAATTCCTTCTACTTTCATGCATCCCTCAGTCTTTCCACAACTGCAGAATGTATCCGCTCTGTCTAAATATTAAGTTGGATTTCTAGGATCTAAAAGGTTAAAAGTGCCATTGAAAATAAGTATCAGTAATGAAAAGTTTTCCTTTTTTTTCCAAGCATTAGTACTGAATCCAGTACAAGCTTCCTCCACATTACAATGTAGTAAATAGTTTTTTAAAGGTGAGAACATTCATAAAGCATCTGTTAGTTTTGTCACAAAGCACTTGGCAAGACATTTTGAAGCTTCACTACTACTTAGTGGCATCAGTGCCAGAAATGGTAAAAACAGATGCTTCAAAGAGAGTCTTGAGGGACATTGAGGGAAGATTTTGATGGAGATCAAACTTAAGCTTGAATGGCTGCTGGGAAGTGTCACATCTTTTTCAGCATAAATGTGTTAAAATTCATATTCATCTGGAAAGCGCATAAGAAACTTCAGAATGATGATGTTTCCTGTTAATGAACACTAATTCTATAGCAGGCAATGTTTAGTAATCCTCCTCCCTGAACCTTAATGGTCATATGTTGCCCTAAGAGCAGAAAAAAGAGAATTATTCCCTATTTTAATTTTGTCAATGCTGTAACTGATAAGTGTTTAAATTCTGAGTCAGGAAGGGTAGCCTAACTTCTTTTTTGTGGTTCCCAGAAGGCACCTCTGATTATGTCACTTAAACATGGCAGCAAGGTCATTTTAACTTAAACAGTACAGTAAGTATGTTAAACGTCCACATAGGCTTCACATAGCTATTCTATCAAAAAGCTTCCACCAATAGTACTACCTTCAAATTTCCTCATAGTCATTAAAAAGTGTTTTGTCATTCCCTTATTCTTGTAACCTACAGTGCCCAAAAAAGTTTGTTCACTTTCCCAACCCCAGAATAGTTGCAATGGTTGTGCAGAGTTTGCCTCCATCAGAATTTGGCCAACTTTTATTTTGGTGTGTCAGGCTTTTATATCACATGGTCTGTGTGCCAATCAAGTTTCTCTTTATGCAGTGATGTTGGACATAATGGCATTGGCCTGGGCCCTGGGCCATTCCATGTTTTTATCAATAATTTGGATGAAAGAATTGGGATGCTTAGAAAGTTTGAAGACGACGTAAGATTGGGAGGGATAGCTAATACTTTAGATCAGGTGTTGGCAAACGTTTTGTAAAGAGCCAGATCCTGCCCCATTTCTGTAGATACAACTGGCTGGTCTATAGGCAAAGGAGCATAGCACTATTGGATGGTGCAGGACCACCGTCTGATTGGCTGCTGCTGTTTCCCAGAATGCTACACCCCTACTCCTTGGCCTTGCCCATCACCTTGGGCAAGGTGATGGGCAAGGCCAAGGAGGCTTACCTGAGGCTCAACCCTGGCAATTAGTTGCCCACCCACTCATCCACATACCCACCCATCTTACTCATGGATTGGAATATCCCATACTTTGCATTCCTGGGACCTCCTGTATTGTCACAAAACAATACTAGATTAAGATCCAGGGTTTGGAGGATGAAAGTGTAAAAAGCATCAGCCTCAGTTATTCATTTGTAAATAGAAATCAAATTGGTAATCTTCACAGATGGGTTGTGATGCTGAAATTAAATAAAGGAAACGGAGAACCGCATGTTAAGAAGCATGCTTCAAACTGATTCTTGTTAGAAATTTTATTATAAAGGAATACAAATATTTGAAAGGTGAGGTTGCAGACTTATGGAAACTTCTTTAAATCAATTGATTTCCCCCTCTCCAAATATGGGTAATTTTACATGATAATGGATGGCCAATAATCAGATACATTGGCAAATGCATTTACTACTTAATCTTAGCTACAGCAGTATAAGATGAAAAAGATTATTAGTGTGTCATTTATAAAGACTTAATGACATACCAAGATGGAAATATTGCTCTTCTGTGACCTAAATTGGACATTTGGAAAAAAAAATAACATTGTTGATTCCCGCTTTCAACTTGCACAATGATTAAAAAACATTTCTTTGCATATTTGCATTTCATTGCTATTCTGTGCACACATACATGAAAGAATAGTTGAATTTTGATGATTATTGAAATGATTATTTGTGGTTTACATCAGCTGTCCCCAACCTTTCCAGCTCTGTGTATTGACGGTGGTGGCAGTGGGGGGGAGAGGAAATGGTTTCGCATGTGTGCCGCTTGCACAAATGCAGCTTTGTGGGCTCACTCACACACTCACCCACTGCTTGCATGGCCTGGTTCCCAGTGGGCCATGGACTGGCACCGGGCCGCAGACTGGGGACCCTTGGTTTACATCAAGTTATGTACCATATACTAATAAAGATTTATTTTATTTAAAAGGTTAATGTTTGCAAATAGTTGTATGAGCACCTTCTCAAACTTTGGAGGCTGCTATTAAAATAATGGCAAGGATCTCAAATCTGGAGCTTAGAAATATACACACATACACATATACATAGACAATACATATACATATTTGTGCTTTCTAGTCAGTGTTGACTCCTGGCAACTGCCTGGTCTCGTCACTGCAGTTTTTCTGGCAGCATTTTCAGAAGTGGTTTGCTATAGCCTTCTTTCTAGAGCTGAGAGAGAGAGAGTGACTCACCCAAGGTGACCCAGCTGACTTCATGCCTAGGGTGGGATTAAAATTCATGATCTAGTACAGGGGTGTCAAACTTGCAACGTCATGTGACATGTCACTACGCATCATGACTTTTTTCCATTGCTAGCAATAGGGTGGGCACAGTTTTGGCATGACGCATCTAGCCTGCGGGCTGGCAGTTTGACATCCCTGATCTAGTGGTTTCTAGTCTGTTACCTTAACTACCACAGCAAAGTGATTCTCAGTAGAAATACATTTATAATGATAATAATTTATCAAGCACAATCACTTTATGGAACTAAATATAGTTCCCTTACCTCCAGGAACTTAAAACCTAATTTTAGGTTGGGTGGGACAGTAAAAAAGATTGCTATTTTAAAAAGGGAGTATGGAAAGAAAAGGCCAGAATAAACAACAGCTGGATAAAAACAGATGTAATTGCAAGTAGAACTTTGTTATCTACTGGTGTAAGTCTCATAGCTCAGTTGTAAACACATTTTACATTCTGATGGCCCTAACTTTAAGCCCTAGCATTTTCAATGAAAAGCTTTAACGTTTCCAGTAAAAACTAGCAGGTAATAAGAAAAATCTGTTCTAAAAAGCTAGAGAGCCAAAGCCAGCTGTAATAGATAACATTGAACTACATGACAATTAAGGCAATTTTAAGGCTCTTTTATTATTGTACCATAAGAATTCCAGAAGAGCTGGATTTTAAAGACAACCACCACCATTTTAGGCTCATTCTGTATGTAAAAGCACAGTGCTACATTTTGTGGACCTTAGGTCTTATCCAGTCAGCTTTTCTTATGACTTAGTTAGTGCTTAAAATCTATTTGATAAATATGTGTGACTGCATCTGTGAGCTGAAAGAAGTTCATATGAAATGGAGTTCATCTTTAATTTAATGCTTTTAGCCATTTTTATAGTGTTTTTTTTAGTTTTGTATACTGCCCAGGATGCATTGGAATTGGGTGGCCAATACATTTAAATACATGTCACATTTTTAATTTCAGTAATTTATGAGCAACAAGCAAGGTTCCCATTTTGAGTTCCACTTCAAGCTTATAGTTTACTTAAAATATATGGTAGATCTAAACTGAGGTGATAGTCAGCTGACCTATGGCCTGAGGATATTGACAGGTATTTTCAACAATGTGACTGATAAACTATATTTAGTGATCTTTATTGGTTATGGATGTTCTTCCTGCCATGGAGTGTATTTATGAATGTGATACAGAGATGAGGGGATTGAAACTGGAGGATGGAGGGTTGTTTTTCTTTTTTATAACTGGGGGAGGGCTAGAGAGAAAAAAAGCAGCAAGATCCCCACAAAATTGTTGTTATTATGGGTCACTCATCCAGTCATCCAGATGTTGAGACTGAATTTGGCATTTTTATCTACCTATCCAGTCCTTCCCAAGAACCTGAGATAGGGAGATGTGGTCTGATGGTGTTAAAGGTTACTACTGCAGGATGTAAGCTGTTCCAAGTAAAGCTGCTTTTTGAAATTGACCATGGTGATTTTGTCAATGTTGATGATGTTCAAGTGGTGTTCCAGATGTTTTGAGGTTGCACCCAAAGCATCTATTACTATTGGTACTTTCTTTGTTTTTTTCCAATATTCATTCTATGTTTATTTGCAGAGTTTCTATTTTGTGATTTTCTCCATTTTTGTTCTCTTCTACTGGTGCTACCTCCAGGTACTACCATACCCACTGTCCAGACCTTTTTGTCTTATCAACAGTTGTTATGTCTGAGGTGTTATGTGGTAGATGCTTGTTTTTTTGTATTTTAAAATCTAAGATCATTTTACCTTCTTCATTTTCTATTACCGTAATTTATTATTACTACGTACACAAGAATGTGAAATCACAGCTGCCTAATCTTTAGCAGATGTTGGCCTTCATGTGTTGAGTTCTTCTGAAGATTTTAGGAGATTGTAATTGATCATCATAATATATATTGGATGAACATTTTGTTAGTGGGCAGTTTTTCTAAGTGCCCAGATTTTCTAAGATCTTGATTTGGGCATTCTGAACACTTTTCAACTGGTAGATGTGAAATGCATACTTTGTATTATTTCCTGACTTTTTTTCCTGAGATTCTCCTGTTACTTTCATTGTAAACCATTTAGAATGTTTAAATATCACTGCTGTTGCAAATGATGGCTGGTATAAAAATGCAGAAATATCAGATTAATGCTATTGTAATGCTGGCACCTAATTGCATTCTGTTAGAGGATAAGAGTGGATACCATCTTCCACCAGTGTTAATACTTCTTACATATAATTGCACCGTCTGCCATAGTTAGGCATTAATGAAATACAATTAACTTTGGTTACTTTCTTTTTTCTTACAGGAGGCAAACTTTGGTCTTACATTAGTAAATTCTTGAATAGGAGCCCTGAAGAAAGCTTTGAAGCCCCTAAATCCAGAAAATCCAGCTGTACCAAAATACATTTGCATCAGGCAAGTCCTAGTCCTCAGGATATCAGCAGTAGCCTTGGCTCCAGAAGAAGTAACGGGGACAATGTATTAAAGGTTTTACCATTGCAGGACAGTTTCACTCCAAGTTTTCAAGATGGTAGTAGTAACCAAGAAGAAGATCAGGAAAGTTCTCTTAAATGGATTGACTCCGGATCTAGTTCAGAAGAGGAATGTACCACAAGTTATCTAACATTATGCAATGAATACAGTCAAGAAAAAATTGACTCTGGTTCATTAAATGAGGAATCTGTCCTGAAACCAGATGATAATGTTCTCATTACCAATGAGCAAAGAGTCCTCAAAGTGCAAGATGAAGCTGCCTCTGGGAACTTGGAATCTACAGTCACATGTCAGGAAATAAAAGAGTTTGCTGATGATGTGGATCCAGAAGCTGCCAATCCTACTATGATATCAGAATCACTAAATAAATCCAAGAACAGCCCCATGGAATTTTTCAGAATTGATAGCAAAGATAGCACCAGTGACCTTCTGGGACTTGATTTTGGAGACAAACTTCATAATTTAAAATCAGAATCTTTCAAACCGTTTTTTCCTACATTAAATCAGGATAAGAGCCTTGAAGCCATTGAAAACAGGTTAGGATTTGCATCTCAGGACACTATCAGCAGGGGTTCTAATGACTCTGTGCCTGTGATATCATTTAAAGATGTAGCCTTTGATGAGGTCGGTAGTATTGATGAAGGAAGACCTGACCTTTTGGTCAACTTGCCAGGCATTATGGAGCAAATGAAAGAGGCTTCAGTGGATAGACCAACAAAACTGATGGAACAGAATGGAGACATCTTGGAAAGCAAACTTTTGGAAGCTCCCGATGTCTTGCAATTGAATAACAGTGCGGAACAAAGCAGAGTGCTTGAGCAAAAGGTAGAGCATCTGAGGGAAGGAAAATCACAAGGACTATGCAAAGACAATCAGGAAGCAGTTAGGGCATCCCATACAGCTGATACTGACTCAGTTGGTTTTGGGAACAGGATGGCCTTTCAAGGACTTGGAGAAGCATCATCATCATTAGATATTTTCAGCATAAAGGACAATGTTATGGTTGCCAGTGCACATGTAGATGTCACAGAAGACAGCTTAGATGTGGACAGTGAAGCTGTGTTGCTGTTTTCTGATCATACTGAAGAAAACTGTCAAGAGGGAACAGTTCTCTCTTTGTCCCACAAAGCAGAAAGCAAAGAGTTGGGTGTGAGGAGCAGAGGAGAGAATGAAATACATCATTTTTTTCAGGACTTGGATGAGAGATTAGCACTAACCTCCAGATTTTACCTCCCTGAAGGCTGTGTTCAAAGATGGGCAGCTGAAATGGTTGTAGCCCTTGATGCCTTGCATCGAGAAGGAATTGTGTGCCGCGATTTGAACCCAAACAACATCTTATTGAATGATCGAGGTCAGGAACTTTTGCAAATGCATTTCTTTTTATTCGCTGTTGCTCCCAATTAACTGAGAAGGCGTTTTATCTTGTAATTAGTATCTTCATTTCCTGTCTAGAGCTTCATTATCAGTGCAGCAAATTCACCCCCAGTAATAGCTTCTAGTACTTAATGATGCCATTATTCTTAATGATACTGTTTTTAGCTACAAAAGGAGTAATTACAGTTCACTTCTGCATAAAATGGAAGGGAAAAATGTTTTGATTTCTCCTGTCGTTTTGTTTTTAGGACACATTCAGCTAACGTATTTTAGCAGGTGGAGTGAGGTTGAAGATTCCTGTGACAACGATGCCATAGAGAGAATGTACTGTGCTCCAGGTTAGAGCAATCGCCTTAAATGTTTCACTTGGAAAACAGATTAGCAGCTTTCATTTTCTCATGGAACTATCATCCCATTCCACCCTTTTTCTGTTTCTTGGGAATACAAGCTGTTCAGTATCTGCTAAGATCTTTATTTTTTAAATATATATGCTATTTTGGAATATGATATATTAAACATATGAAGAAATGGTTGTAGCAATTGGGTATGTCTAGTTTAATAAAAAGGATGACATGATAGCAGTGTTCCAATATCTAAGGGGCTGCCACAAGGAAGAGAGGGTCAATCTGTTCTCCAAAGCACCTGAAAACAGGACAAGAAACAATGGATGGAAACTAACTAACCAACCTAGAACTAAGGAGAAATTTCCTGACAGTTAGAACAATTAATCAGTGGAACAAGTTGCCTCCAGAAGTTGTGAATGCTCTAATACTGGAAGTTTTTAAGAAAAAAATGGACAACCATTTGTCTGAAATGGTATAGGGTTTACTGCTTGAGCAGGAGGTTGGACTAGAAGATCTCCAAGGTCCCTTCCCAACTCTGTTATTCTGAATTCTCCAGCCAGCCATGCTAGCGGGGTAATTCTGGGAGTTGAAGTCTTGACTTCTTAAAATTGCTAAGGTCGAGAAACACTGGTTTAGAAGAATTCACAAATAAATAAAGTCAGATGTAATAGATATGCCTAAAGATTTATGAAATCTGCTTAAGTATACAGAGTTCTTGAAACTTTTTATTGTTAAAATGAAGAAGGGTTAAATGTATCATAGTTTGTAGAGGTTTTCCTTCGCATGTACATATTATGGTATCTTCCCCAGGAAAATATTCAATAAATTTTAATCCAACTGTGGCTATAAATCTACTATATTTATTGAATTGTCCATTCAATAAATATTGAATGGACAAATAAAATGGGTGTTCCAGCAAGTGATGCATAGGTAGCGTATTTTAATCAGCTTTAATGTTAGTAACAGGAATTAAGTTTTATATTAAGTAAAAGTGTCTAACCAGAACTGATTACAAGAAAGAGTAGATAAGGTATCCCTCAGATTGAATGTGATTCCTGGAAACTATATTCATGTTTCTTGGCAACCAGACAAAAGTGGTTAGTCATTTTTTTTAAAAAAGCATACTAGTTTAATCTATAGCCCTATGATTCCTTTGTGGCCACCCAATCCAAATATGATTTAGATCCAATTCTCTTGTTTTTGAGTTTAGTTAAGGCCACTGAGATCTGCCACTTGCTTTAACTCAACAGAGTGAATTAGTTATATAGTGATTTCATTTCTAAAGATTTCAGAAGAAATGAGGTGCAACAGATTAGCCTGGACCAAACCCAGGATAAACAGAATATAAATATAAATTATTTGGGCTTCAAAGGACTAGCGCAGTTTCTTAAAGTATTTTTATTTATGGTGATATTATGGAGGAACTCCCTGTGGTATCAAAGTCCTAGTTTTGATTAAAGTTGTTAATCTGTCTCTTGCATTGTACTGTTTTAGATTGTAGAAGGCAGGAAGAATCTCATATAGCTAACTGTACCTCAGTACAAAAAACTGTCTTTTCATAGAAAACTACATGAAAGGTAGTTTTTTTCTTTGCATAGAGAAAGTTTTTATTCCTAAAATGTCATCAAAGCCCTGATTATACTGAGAATAAATCTTTTTCCTGGGAGGGGTACAAGTGTCCAGTTGTGGAATAGTCTATATCGGTGGTGGCGAACCTATGGTACGCGTGCCACAGATGGCACGCAGAGCCCTCTCTGTGGGCATGTGCGCCATCGCCCCAGTCCTAGGCCTTCAGCTGGGTTTTATAAAATTTTTCGATTTAGGCCTCCGCCACCGTTTTCCCAAAAAATATGGTTCATTCAATCAATCAATTAATTTCAAATTCTCGTGGAAAAAAAAGATATCGCAAAGTTGGAATTGATTGTTTGGACTTTTTAGTCCCACCCAGTCTGCCGTTACCACTGAAGCCACACCCACCGAATTGGTCACACCCACTCAATGGGCCACGTCCACCCGGCACCCGACGCTACATAAGTGGGGTTTGGGTTGCAGTTTGGGCACTCGGTTTCTAAAAGGTTCACCATCACTGGTCTATATTCTGTCTGCAGACAAACCTACCATCGGAAGCTTCTTGACTGATAACAAGTCTTTGAAGAGTTACGTAGGGTGTTTATTTGCTGTATCATAATGTTTAAATGCTTGTTTCTGAGAACATTTGTGAGTAAGATCTATGAACTCTTCTCTATAATTTTAATAATTACTTCAAGCAAGAAGATTTTTGGAGGTCATCTTAAGACCATTGTCCCCAAATCTTCTCTGAATAATTTTGCTGATTTTTCCTCTATTGGCTCCTTGTTCACTTCCAAGCCCAAGACAAAATAATTTTGAGATCTTAAACATCTTGAGTCTTGGTAGACTGAAGGACTATTTTCTTTTGTTGAAAATTCATCACTAATTGGATGATCTAGATCAGGATGTAGATCTTTGCTTCCTTGGGAGGCTTAATTGATTTAACAAAACTTTCTGGTAAAGTTTTATTAAGTAATTCAATGAATAAGTAAAATTCAGTTGCTTTTATTTTGATCAAATTGTTTGAATTCTGCTGTAAAACTGAGTTGATGCACACTTTTCAATTCATTTGCAGATTGGAATATTTCAGTTATTCAGATTTTTAAATTATATGCATTTGCAATGCAGTACTTTATTTAAATATCTATAAAATGTAATTATAGCTCATTAGGCATTTTTAAAAGTTATATATAACTAAAAGTATGCCTGAATACATGAAAAATACATGTGACCAGGAGGATGTTGAACCATCTATCTTAATTTTATTGTCTTGTTGTCTAATAGTGGAAATTGATGTTAATTTGTTGCCTCTTATTTTGCTGCTTATCTTTTTATTTTAAAAAAACTTTATTAACAGTGTGTATGTTTCTGGGTGAGTGAGGCCACTGAATTCTTAGTTTCGTAAAAGTAAGGTAATTTGTTTAAGATTAAAAATATCCAAAATGAATCAATACTGCAACAATTAAGATTCCGAGTACCTTAAAATCCCATAGATTAAAGAAGTCAGATAGAGGAAATATGTAAATTCATTTCTCTCTTAGAGGTCTGTTGAAGTAGCCAAGTTTTGACTGCTTTCCTAATTCCCAATAAAGTTGCTATGAATTGATTCTCCAGGGGAATGCTATTTTAGAGATGGAGATGGAGGCAATGATGGGGGAATATTCATTATTTTAAGGAATATTCATTATTTTAAATATTGCAGTGTATAGATATACACCTTAATATAGATATACAGTATATAACTTAAAATTAATTGTGAGAAAATACTCTGTCACTTTCTAGATAAACAGTCACAAATGTCAAAAGAAATCTGGATATGTTATTGCATACTTAGGTTTAGCATACTTAGGTTTGTGGTATTTTGGAATATTTCACCACATGCTACAGAAGACATAATCAATAAACCTACTTGCAACATTGGACAAAGTGAAAATGATGTGGAATAGGAACACAAGCCTGTGACTTTCAGATGTTGTTGAATTACAACTTCCAGCCTCCCCACTCAACATGATTTGTGATGAGAATACTGAGAGTTGTAGCTCAGCAAACATTTAGAGACTCACAAGTTCCTAACTCTCTTGATGTAGGATCAAGAGCTATTAACTTTGTAAATCTGTATATTTCACCTGATGGATTTTGAAATAATAAGGAAAAAAACTAAAAATACTTACTCTGATTATTTATAGTTGTGGCACAAGATACAGCTTTGTATCTATTGCTGGTCTCACTTCCATGGCATAGTCTAATAGTGATATCTCTCCATAGATCCTCTTTAAAAGGCAGCATCCTGTGCTGGATTAGAGAACTATTATTTGAATTGTCGACAAGGTAATAATGTAATAATACTTTATGACTAGAATCACTTGTTGAGATAGAGGGCTATAGAACTCAAACGTTGTTTTCCTGACACCAATGCAGGGATTTGCTATTCCTTTTTGAATTTTCAGGCTAGTTTTCTATAGCCCAGCAACTTCAGGTGCTAGTCAAGTCAGACCCTGTTCAGTGTTATCAGCCAAGGTTGGCTTGGTGCTGTCACCTGATCAACACTCCCCAGGTGTGACAGGAATAAGAAAATGTATATTCATTTTCTTATGTTAAATGTATAGGAATGGGAAATGTATGACATGTTTGTCACCTTGCTTATTTTTTCTATCTCAAACAACCATTGTCCAAAATATGAATGGGAAAACATAAACTTTACTCAAAAAAAGATGGGCATATTGTAGAATTTCTGGAGTTAATTGCAGTTATGTACCCAACTATCCTATAAGTAGAAAAACAATATGAATGGTCATGCTGGGAAATTGGGGAGTGATTCTGCTCCAGCTTTCCCCAACCTGGTATTCCTCAGCATACCTGAAGATCAGCAGTTAGGGCAAGATTGGATTATTTGAAGTAAAAAGAAGAGAAGATCATGAATCCAGTAAGATCACACACACACACACACACACAAAAAAGAATGATGCTTCTGTTATTTTTTTATTTGTAACAAGCAGGGAACTTTTCTACTGGAACCAAGTATTGTTTTGCAAAGACACACAGTTTTCCATGATACGTTGATTAGAATATAGGAAAAGAGGCCAGATCTATATGCTTCTCTTATCACTGACAAGACTATGCGGAATGGAAAGGTTGTTAGGAAAGACTTTGCCCCTAGTAATATTAATACAAAATATACCAACCCAGTTATAACCCCCTTCACAACAACTGCTTCTGCTTTTATTTTTCATAAACAATTAGACAGAAAAGTACCAGTAATTTTTCAGGATTTTAAATGAATCTTTTAATTCAAAAGACTAGACATTTACAAAGCACAATTTGATTTGTTTGTTTTAGATACAGTATAGGTAGTCCTTGACTTAATGATCACAATTGAGCCCAACATTTCTGTTGCTAAGCAAGACAGTTGTTAAGTAGGTTTTGCC